TTATCAATCTTCATATCCAAGTGATTTAGTTATCAATCTTCATATTCAGTGTATTTAGTAATCAATCTTGATATCCAGAGTACCGGTATTTGGTTATCAATCATGATATCCAGAGTATTTGGTTATCAATCTTGATATCCAAGTGATTTAGTTATCAATCTTGATATCCAGTGTATTTAGTTATCAATCTTGATATCAAGGTGATTTGGTTATCAATCTTGATATCCAGAGTATTTGGTTATCAATCTTGATATCAAAGTGATTTAGTTATCAATCTTGGTATCCAGGTGATTTGGGTTATCAATCTTGGTATCCAGATGTTTTGGTTATCAATCTTCGTATCCAGATGTTTTGGTTATCAACATTGATATCCAGGTGATTTGGTTATCAATCTTGGTATCCAGGTGATTTGGTTATCAATATTGATATCCAGGTGATTTGGTTATCAATCTTGATATCAAGGTGATTTAGTTATCAGTCTTGATATCCAGATGTTTTGGTTATCAACATTGATATCCAGGTGATTTGGTTATCAATCTTGGTATCCAGGTGATTTGGTTATCAATATTGATATCCAGGTGATTTGGTTATCAATCTTGGTTTCCAGATGTTTTAGTTATCAATATTGATATCCAGGTGATTTGGTTATCAATCTTGATATCCAGGTGATTTGGTTATCAATATTGATATCCAGGTGATTTGGTTATCAATATTGATATCCAGGTGATTTAGTTATCAATCTTGGTATCCAGATGTTTTAGTTATCAATATTGATATCCAGGTGGTTTGGTTATCAATCTTGGTATCCAGATGTTTTGATTATCAATCTTGATATCCAGGTGATTTAGTTATCAATCTTGGTATCCAGATGTTTTTGTTTTCAATATTAATATCTAGGTGATTTGGTTATCAATCTTGGCATCCAGGTGATTTGGTTATCAATATTGATATCCAGGTGATTTGGTTATCAATCTTGGTATCTAGGTGATTTGGTTATCAATCTTGGTATCCAGATGTTTTGGTTATCAATATTGATATCCAAGTGATTTAGTTATCAATCTTGATATCCAGGTGATTTGGTTATCAATATTGATATCCAGGTGATTTGGTTATCAATCTTGATATCCAGGTGATTTAGTTATCAATCTTGGTATCCAGATGTTTTGGTTATCAACATTGATATCCAGGTGATTTGGTTATCAATCTTGGTATCCAGGTGATTTGGTTATCAATATTGATATCCAGGTGATTTGGTTATCAATATTGATATCCAGGTGATTTGGTTATCAATCTTGGTATCCAGATGTTTTAGTTATTAATATTGATATCCAGGTGATTTGGTTATCAATCTTGGTATCCAGGTGATTTGGTTATCAATATTGATATCCAGGTGATTTGGTTATCAATATTGATATCCAGGTGATTTGGTTATCAATCTTGGTATCCAGATGTTTTAGTTATCAATATTGATATCCAGGTGATTTGGTTATCAATCTTGGTGTCCAAAGTATTTGGTTATCAATCTTGATATCCAAGTGATTTAGTTATCAATCTTGATATCCAGGTGATTTGGTTATCAATCTTGGTATCCAGATGTTTTGATTATCAATCTTGATATCCAGGTGATTTAGTTATCAATCTTGGTATCCAGATGTTTTTGTTATCAATATTAATATCCAGGTGATTTGGTTATCAATCTTGGTATCCAGGTGATTTGGTTATCAATATTGATATCCAGGTGATTTGGTTATCAATCTTGGTATCTAGGTGATTTGGTTATCAATCTTGGTATCCAGATGTTTTGGTTATCAATCTTGATATCCAGGTGATTTAGTTATCAATCTTGGTATCCAGATGTTTTGGTTATCAATCAACCATCCTTAGATAAATATACATATTACCAATACCTGATTTTTATTGATTACTCCTGGAGTATCATAAAACCATTTAGCTTGTCTGAGTTCATTTGGATGTGGTAAGACTGGCATTTCAGAACTAACCCATTCTTTTTCTTTCCCTTGCTTTTGTTCCCCTGGATGAGCCAGAAATGGATTGGCATTCACAGAGTAATTTAATTCACCCTTATCTTTGGTTTTAAATGTCTGTCCTACTGTTCCTATAGAAAACAATTTACACATGGAGTGAGTATAATAAAATATGCAGAGAATCAATAATGAACACATGGCAACAGTCTGAAAATCACTGTTATGAACAAGCACTATTAATAATGAAAACTAAAGTCACAGTATAGATAGGTAATCAATGATATCAATTCTACTTGGTACTATGTCATTTCTATTTGATACTATGATGTCATTTCTACTTGGTACTATGTTGTCATTTATATTCAATACTATGATGTCATTTCTACTTGGTACTATGTTGCCATTTATATTCAATACTATGATGACATTTCTACTTGGTACTATGATGTAATATCTACTTGGTACTATGAGGTGATATCTACTTGGTACTATGATGTCATTTCTACTTGGTACTATGATGTCATTTCTACTTGGTACTATGATGTACCCGATAATATCTACTTGGTACTATGATGTCATTTCTACTTGGTACTATGATGTAATATCTACTTGGTACTATGATGTAATATCTACTTGGTACTATGATGTAATATCTACTTGGTACTATGATGTAATATCTACTTGGTACTATGATGTAATATCTACTTGGTACTATGATGTAATATCTACTTGGTACTATGATGTAATATCTACTTGGTACTATGATGTCAATTTCTACTTGGTACTATGATGTAATTCTACTTGGTACTATGATGTAATATCTACTTGGTACTATGATGTAATATCTACTTGGTACTATGATGTAATTATCTACTTGGTACTATGATGTAATTTCTACTTGGTACTATGATGTAA